TGCTTTCAGAGCTCTACCGTGAAGACTCCAGCTCGTCCGTCTGAAACCCGTGCTCTATACCCACAAGGACTGGTCAGATTCACTCCTGAGCGTTCTAATCAACTGTAAGATTTTATCCCCTCTTCCAAAACAGTGAGTTTTCATTTTTATATTTCTTTTAAAGGTCGTACCTATACCGTTCCAGCAAATCCCAGGGTTGCAGCGCTTCTTTCCACCTTTCTTTCACATGTCTACAGGGCTCCTCCCCCTGAATAAGAAGCTTGCTCACCCTATAATATTTCAAGCCTCGCATTGGCATACCACTGTTCCGTAATTGTTTTATAGTTGTTTAATTTTAATCTTGTTTTAACATTAAATTTTGTTTTAAATATATCTATCCACCCGTCATAGTCCATACCAGCTGTGCGCTCGCCTTTTTTTGTGTTTTTATCTTACACAAATACACCTGCTGTGATGTATGCAGGTCACATGACATACTGCAAATAATTTCTGCCCCACTATTGGACAGTGAGGTGCGTGAACAAAATTATGTGATCACAATATAAATTCATCAAAACATTGAATTTTTTCCTAAGTGAAATATAGCTATTCTTGTGGTGTTATTTATTGTTTAAAAATTGTTATAATGGGTTTACGTTTACTTTAAATATACCATTGACAATGTTTTGTTATATATGTGATTAAGAAACACACAAAAAAGATCTGTTGACCCTGCCAAAAATCCACCCCTGCCCAGTTTACCTCTGTGTTATTGAGGGGAGGAGAAGGTGTTCTGTAGTCCTAACACCCCTTATGTCCTAGGATAATAATGCTCCTCCTACAGTGAATGAGCATTGTCACCCTAGGACAGAAAGTGTTACTGGCAGGATCGCAAGGTGAAAATAAAATAAAATAAAAAAATGGAAGAAGAAAACTAATGCCGCCACATCTAAGGACTGGTAATCTGCAAAATGTAACAGTTTTGTTTAAATACACTATCTCCAGTCTGTGTTTAAGACTATGCAGGCACATTAAACTGGCCTTGTTCACACCAAGTGCAGAGCAGAGCAGTTGCAGACCGGATCAAAACTGCGTCCAATGTATTCCAATGGTATTTTTTGCTCCAGTTCACATGGCAGCGTGCAGTTCCAGAGCAGGTCCAGAGCAGGTGAAAAAACTGCAGCAGGCCCTATTTCTATTTTGTTTTTTACCAAAAACGGCCCGAAACGCAGCAAAAACGCGACACAACACCGCGTGTGCAGAAACCTGAGCAGATCTGCTCTGCATTTGGTGTGAACAAGGCCTCAGGATGTCAATGATTTTTTAACAGGGTTATTCACAAAGGGTGAAGAGTTTGGAGAAGGCAGGAGAAGTGAACAATCTAGGACAACATAGTTGATTTGGGAAAATTCTCCAATTCCGCTCACTTTCCAGTTCAGCTATGTTGTCCTAGATTGTTCTCCTGTCTTCTCCAAACTCTTCACCCTTTTGTGAATAATCCTGTTAGTGTTTTCTCTAAGGCATTACAGACTTTGTTGATGTTATATCTATGAATAAACTACATAAATCCCTTACATCCATTAAATGTATATTACTAACATTTTATTTGATTTCATTTGAAAAAGATATTGAAAAGCGCAATAATCCAGTAATGCGTGGACGACCTCCAAATTTTGATGATGGTCCTTTTTTGTCCAGTCAGCAGAATGGAAGAGAGCCATGACCAGCATATACTGCATGCCTTTAGTGTTGGTAAGGGACCTGGATGTGCTGTCTGGCATTGGGAACTTACATAATAAGACTAGTTGAAAAGATCTTCACATCCTATGGCAGGTAAAACAGTTCTTGTATATGTTTTATTTCTATATGTAACTATTTGCCTGGAGTTCTGTTTTAACATGGTGTTGTTCCATTAAGCTGCACCGCTGGACCTTACTGGTTCTGCAATATTTTTATGAGAGTCTAAACATATGCTGATATCGGGTTGTATGATAAACTAAGTAACTTTTACAATCAAAGGTAATTCCTCCTTTTGGTGTTTTTTAGTACAGCAGACAATCTAAAGCACTTCCCAGCAGTGGTAAGCATCAAGCACTAGTGTACAATCTACTGACACAATCTTTTTGTCCCGAAACAAATTTTTTACATATCTTAGACTATTTTCACATTCCTTATTGCAACAGTTTCATGTTAGTACTATTACACACCCCTATATGGTTCCCTAATCTGACAGTGTACCGATTAAACTGTTTCTGTACATAATCAGAAGACAATTTATCGCCAACATCAGATTTCTGGCTGCTGACATCGGGACTGTCTGCAGCCCACACGCCGCACTTCCTGCCTGCTCCCACATCTAGAACAGGGATGCTCATGTGACCTGAGCTTTTCTGTTACTTATAGCCAAAGATTGTCCAAAAATACAGAAGAAAGGGGATTGTGCAAATAAATAATTGCCTACTTCCAGTATTTCGAAAAAAGTATGCTTGAAAACAGCAAATTCTACGCTTGAACACATTTCCATCTATATTTTCCCCTGAAGAAGCAGTAAAGTTTTTTTCAAAGAATTCTGGCATTCCATTAAAACAAATGTCCTGCAGCACTTATTTATCACTACATCTGCACATACAGTTTTCTCCTAGTCCCCTTGCAAAGCCCTACAAATACCTGTTGATCCTGCCAGTGAAGCCACCTCATGCAGCTTTCTGTGAGGTAACAATGTTGCAGTGCTCCTGAATTCAGAGCAAAGTCGCCACTTTTTCATGTTGGCGGCGATGTCGCAGAGATCACTTTTATGCAGCCTGCAGGTCCGTCCGTCCCCTACCACCCCCCCCATGGTACACCCCCACCTCACCTGGCTGCCTCTGTCCCCTCTATAGTTTTTGGGGTTCCCCACTCTTCTGGGGGACCCGGGACCACTGCAATCACTTCAGCATGGAGAGCGGGGAGCAGAGTGGAGAACGCTCCGTTCTCTGCTCCATGTAAACAGTGGGAGGGGAGAGCTGCACTCGCAGCCTTCCCCTCTCAGCTGTCACAGGAGTTCCACCACAATGTTGTGCTAGAACTCCTGTATTGGAGGTGACCGGTTCAAAAAAGAGAACCTGTCACCTGGGCGTGTTAGCTCCTGTGTGATAGCAATAAAGTTAAATGCAAAGAAAATAAAATAAAAATGTAAAACAAAATTGATAAAAAGTCAAAAATAAATAAAATGTTAAAAAAATTTAATGAAAAAAATAAAAAAAGTGTTAAAAAAACAAAAATAAAAAAGTAAAAGTCAATAAGATAAATAAAAAAAGTAAAGTAAAAAAATAATAAAGAAAACAATTAAAATTAAAACAATAATAAAGAAAACAACTAAAAAAATTATTAAAACCCTGCCGTCCACGCCATCTGGTTGCTATTCTCCATCTATTGGG